GATGGTGGATGTAACGTATTTATTTTGTAGCAAGGGCTTTCATAAAGTGCAGCACTTCCCCCACTGGATTTAAACTAAGAATTTCAATTTGATAACAAAGTGCTTATTATTTGTGAAACAAAAAAAGGCTCATGAAGGGATTATAACTTCTATGAAATTAAATAATTATAGAGAGGATATATTAATGTATAATATTTCAAAACAGAGTATTTTCATGATAAAAATTTAATAAATATATAAATGTGACAAAATAAAAGATATATGTAATGGTTTTTAAGCTCTACATGTTCTAGATATAAATTAAAAGCAAAATAATTTCCTGGAACTAAAAACATTAACTCTTCAATATGTAACAAATATGGAATTTATAATATTTGGCAAATAAAAAATTGTACAAATTAATGGTTCTACATTTATCTAGCTCAGGCAGATCCAGATTCAAACATTTTTAATTAAATTATTTTTGTATTCATAAATATTTCTTAATGGCTATTTTGTAACCTAATAAAAACATTTTAAAAATGGATTACTTCGTAGTAATATAGGAAATATACATTATACATTATAAAAAACAATTTTAAATTCTTTTTTGGACCTTTTTTTATTATTGTATTTAGAATTTCTAGTCAATAATTAATAAAGTGCCCGCATTAAATGCGAATATTTTTTTAATATAACACAAACCATTTGAAAAATTAGAATAAACTTACCTCGTAATATAGGAAATATATATATATATATAGAGGTTATAGCGGCTCTATTATGCCCACGAGACTGAAAATATAACTTCAAACCCTTCGAATATCGTAAAATTTCAGATTTAATCGATGTTACTGAACCTCTTTGCGGAACCGCAATTTTAGTCCCGTTTGTGTATAAATTGCCATTCCTAACGCATGTCACTAGACCCGCCACGTTGCCAGACTTAAATTTCTTATGAATTTATCTATTCTCAACTTTTTTCTAATTGGCTTTTTAAAAGATGTACTTATTTAGGGTAAAATGCTAATGTAATTTTTGGTGCCCCATTTGTCAGAATTATTGAATGGTTTTTCTATTTCTTCGTGTTATAAGTAATATGAATCACTGTAAATAAAATAAGAAAATCTGTTTCGGTATAAAGAATGCCAAACAAAATAAAAACTAAAAAAATAAATGGAGGCAAACAATATGTAGTGCCTGTACTTAAATTTTATAAAACCAACAAAAACGATCGAATAAACTAGTGGAGTTTTTATTTATATAAAATTTTTTTAAATGTTAATATTTTTATTAGATTTCTTTCCCCTAAATTCCTCTCTTTCTTGGTTTTCCTTTTCTTCTTCGTCCGTTTCTTCATTTAAATTTATTATTAACTTTTTCCCAATACTAACACTATTTTTATGATTTATCAAACATCTATCAAAAATTCTATACCTACTTGTTTAATTCACGTTTGCCGTTGCCAATTTTTGTACATTTAATTGATCAATTTAATTACAAACAGTTATTAATGAAAGGCAGAAGCTTGTGTCGAGCCGTAAGCAAATTTAATATGCGATTAATTATAATTTATTGGAATTAGTTAAATCATTGTCGATTGCTGGAATGAATTATTTTATTTCGAATTAGATATTATCCGGATTTGTCAGATATTGTAAATTGAACCGTTTTATTGTAATCTGAATATGTTATCAACTAATTTCTACATAGATAGATTGCAACAATGTTTTTGAGAAATTATTTTTGTATCACTAATTATAAAATAAAAGATATTTACAGTGTTAGTTCAAATTGATTTTCTTGAATGAATTTTTTGAGATTCGTTAATGGAATGGATATAAAATCAAATAAAATAAAACAACCTAATGTTCAAAAAATCTATGCATCTTACGTGGTCTGATCTATGATGTTGTTTAATTTCTGCGCAGCATAAAATAAGTTTAAAGAATTTTCTCCGATATAACATCTCTGTACCGCAAGTTTCTGAATTTGACAGCATTTCTAGTAGGGCCTTTTTTTTATTTAAGTTTGATTTAAAAATATGTATGGATACAAACTAATAATAAATTACAAAAAGATCAGTATACAATGGTTGAGAAAGTCTACATTAGAGATGATTCTAATACCTTTTTCTTGTAGAGCCTAAAATATACTTAAGAGAGTTTCGATTTTATTGATTAGTTTTATTGCAGAGAAATGTAATGTGAGGTTGATAGAAGTTGATGTGTTGGGGTTTATATGCTTTCAATTTTAGAAAGTTTTAACCGAGCATTTTAATATTCGTTAGGATTTTAGTTTTTCTTATACGATTATTTTAAACACAGGAAAAATAATAAATATTTTTATTTTTGTAAATTTGTGTTTTTTATTGTCGTGAGATTGTCTGAAGCGGACTCTGTTCTTTGTTTACTACCGTACCCGCTACAGGAAGTCTGACGAAACTCGAGAAACCGAATCGAATGTTTTCTATCGCAGTCTGACACGTGGAGGATAATTTTCAGAACCAACTCTAACTAGAAGCTTATTTTAGAAGTACCAAAATTTAATACAATCGGAAATAAATTTGTCAAATACACACCACGTGTCAATTGAAGGCTTGCGTTGGTCCCCACGTTCTTAGTATTTTGTTTTGTCACTCAATGAAAGTGCTGAAAACCAATATTTTAGTTTGATGATGTCAATAGTTTTACTTTGGTTTGTAACCACCTCTTATAGTACCAGCTTGTACCAGGTCTTCAACAATACCCGAAACCCACGTGATCTGATAACCATCAAAAACCCATCGAAAGGGCCTGAGTTGACGTAAATGGAACTAAACTGAACTGTCAGTCCTGTCAGAAATGTCACTGGCGTTCATTTGGGGACAGAATATTTTTATTATATTTGTTTACATTTTATAAACACCTTTATTCCATTTTTCATTTAATATTAATGGAGCAATTAGTTATTTTTAGAGATTATTGGTGGCTTAATTATTTTTTGTTGGTAAGTACAAATTTATTTACTGTAACTCGTAAAAGTTAATGACTGTATATAATTTATTTCAGGTAATGTTACACTGGAACAAAATTATTTTATGTTCGTAATTGTATTCCAAAATTTGAGGAACGTTTTCCAGTGAATAAATGGAATGTGATTCTTTTTTGTCATCATAAACAAATATTTGTTCAAAATTATATAAATGGAAAAAGCTCCAAAAGGCCCAAAGTAATAACAAAAGCTGTTGAAGATGTGCAAATTAACATGGTGCAAATTCCCAATAAGTTAGTAAAATAAAAACAGCACTTCAAACAGGTATGAGCGGTGTTTCAAAGACTGAAAGTTTCGGTACTGCAACAATCATTTTACCTTAATTTTGTTAAACCTACCTATGGAATATTACAGATCGCTCAATTCAAAATCGTTTGTGTGACGTTTATGAACTGGAGCACCTATATTAAATGAAATACAAAATATAACTGAGGAGAAACTGCATAATGTTTTCAAAAAAGAACGATTGATGCTTGTATTAAAGCTGGTGGTAAAGGTTTTGAACAGATAGGTACTGTGAATTAGTATCGTTTGTGCACCACTGATTACTACCCAATATCCTTTTAAATAAAATAGTTGTTCGTATGCCTTTATAATTTAAAGTGAGAGCTGTAAGGTAAAACAAATATGTGCTTGTTACATTAATAATATTAATATTTTTTTGTATACAAATAAGTAACAATGTATTTTGTAAATGATTTAAACCCTGTAACAAATAAATAATAGAACAAACTTAAATTATTTATTACTTCCCATTGCTCAGGTAGAATTCCAGTAAGTTTTAAATTTGTTAACTTAAACTGCAATAATTGCCAAATACTGCCATTGTCTTCTGCCTATCTTATTTAAAGTTTCAGCTGTAGCTAAATTTAGAGTCAATCTAAAGTAAATTTTTAATTTTATTCATAATTTAATGCAATACATTTTTTGTCCATAACTTTCTGGTAAAGGTTTTTTTTGCAATAGTGGCAATAACTTGTACGCATATTTCAGGTTTATTATTCTTTTCGTTAAATACAATAATACAAACTAGATATAACAGCTCAGTTTTTAAGGTTATGTTAATTATATCAATTTTAAATTATTGCATTTGAATAAATCTAATTAAAATATCAAATTCTAACATTAAAATACAATAATGTAAAGCACCTCTAATTAATATTATGATTCTGAGTTATAATTCCAACAGTTACCTAACTGAATTTTGTTCTCGTAGTTGCAGTCCATAAAAAAGAAGAAGATCTATTTTGTAATAAAATACCTACGGCACTGGCTCACATCTAGGGATTTTTACTTTTATTTTCACCAATCGCTGTCATGACGATTTGGTCACGTGGGTTTTCGGTATTGTTGAAGACCCAGTACGTTCCCGCAAGTAGGAACAGTTGATAGCCTAACCAGTAGGCAGAGAAAAATAGACCGTATATCTTTCAAAATTGTTCCATTAAATATTAGTTTAAAAAAACGATTGAGACCAAATCACTTACCCAAACTACATCTAGGGGTGACGTGAGAGCTCTCCTGGATTCCGGTATCCAAGGGATGATCCAGGCTTTTTTCCTACCACATGTTTTTATTCTTATTTTACAGATAAGAACGTTTTGCAGCAAAAATTTAAAGTTTACCGGTTCTCGAAACGGTTTATTTCGCACTGACCTTTTCAAAGGTCTTTTCATGGTGCGAATCTACAATCGTGATTCGTTCTCAAAATACGTGTAAATATATTTGAACCTACTAATTGGTAACTCCAATTACACGTAACTTAATGAAGTTGTTTAATAAATTACCCCTTAAAATGACAAATAAAAATTTAAAATGATTAGGATTCAACATAGCTTATTGTCGAATATATTTTTATATTATTACGGTGTCGCGGGTCTGGAATTTATAAGCACCGTAATTATTTAATTTAAAAGTTAAAAATACCTTGTATTTTTAACAATCATTTTAATTTTCCTTGCAATTATATATAAATATAAAAAACTAACCTGTATATCGGAAATCCAGATCCATATTGAAACCAGAATACCATGTATACCTTGTCATGACCAGGAGGGACGACATCGCACGGTAAACTCACACTTTTTCCTTCGACGGCTTGGATGTCTTGTGCAACAACTGAAAAAAAAAATAGTTGGTATTAATTAAAAAAAAAAAAAAATTATAAACGTAAGACATTAATATAATTCCTTAACAACATGGATTCTTCAAATAACAATACACAACAACAAATTCAGCTGGATTTTAATTTTTTTTTATCGCTTAAGAGGATGTGATAAGATACAGACATTTCAAAAACCTTCAAACCTTCAATAGTAAGTGTCATACTTTACTTACATACAAATTAAAAGTAGAATTAGAATCAGTGGTCAGTACCTGAAATTGATTCAAAGTCAAAGAGTTATCTTGTGTGGTTTCTATTTAGGTTTTCCTCAAGGTTGATATATTGGACCTGTTCTTTTTATTATTTCTGTAAACGAACTAATATCCTGCTTTTAAACGTCTAAAATCATTATAAATCCCCATAAAATAATTTTAATTGTGTTTAAATAAGAATTGCCACTTTAATAAATCAGAATTATGTGTGTCAATTCAACGTTTGTAACCGAAAAACGTTTCCAAGGTAGATCATTTACTATTATTTTAAGCATAAAAGTATTTTTGAGGTTATGTTGTTTGTTTACTGGCAATTTTAAATATTAATTTAGTTTTACGACTGTAATACATATTTTATTCTTTTTTCCAGGCTCCTAGACCGCTTCAGGCACAATTCCTCAACAATGGAATCAATCCTTAATTCTACCTATAATTAAGCCAAATAAGGATAAAATGGTAGCTTCAAATTATAGGCCTATTTCCCTTTCCTCTTGCGTAGGCAAAGTATTAGAATCATTAACCAAAAATCAACTTGAATGGCATTTGGAAAATAACCAAATTTTTAATCCCTTACAATTGGACATCATAAGAGGTAGGGGTTATACGGATTATCTTGTCTATCTTACCTCACAAGTGTAAATAAGCTTCTTCCTTAATGAATTTACTATTGGTCTCTTTATTGATATTTCTGCTGTATATGATTTAGTTAATATTCCTCGGTTATATTCCATTTTACTAGATGCGAATGTCTCAGTGGATTTGGCCAATTTAATACATTACTTTTAGCCCAAAGAGAACTATTTACTCGAGAAAATTAGGGCTACATCCATGGTCCTCAAAGTACTTTTTAGGCTTCTCCGTTAAGTCCCATTTTGTTTAACCTTTGTACCTTGTCTCCAATTGATATTTTTTTGCCTAATATTAATTTTAAATTAATTCAATATGCTGATGATCTGGTAATACTGGTTAATGGATCGAATGTTTACAATATGATTTCACGTATCAACTCCTTTTTGCTTAAATAAGAATCCTGGTTGGAAAAACTTAACCTTAATCTTTCATTGCATGAAACTTCGACAATTTTATTCACTAAAGGTGTAACTAAAATTACTTTATCTAATATCACCTATAAATCTCAAATCATTCAATGGAAGGATAAAGTCAAATATCTATCATTCATAAGAATCTTAAATGGAATTCACACTTTAATGATTTAAATGTTAAGATCAATCGTAACCTCAATGTCATACGTGCTCTCTGTGGGACTTGGTGGGGATGTGCCTTACAAATATTAAGAATTTTACATAAATCAATCATTTTGTCCCACTTGGATTATGGATGTCAAATTATAATACCGTGTTCCCAGGATATACAAAAGATGTTAGATACACTTCAGAACCAAAGCCTTCGTATCATCACAGGGTATATGAAATCTACCCCAATTCTAGCCTTATTGACAGAGACAGGTCAAATCCCTCTTGGTCTAAATTAAATAACCTATGTCAACGTAGTGTAGTTCTATAAAGGTTACATTTTTAAAATCAGCTCATTGAGACCTTTCCAGCGATGTTACAATAAAATTTGACTAAAAAAATATAATACTCTGTTCAACAAACAAACCCATGTGCATAATTTTTTTTTTAACTTCCAATTTAGTCGTATTATTTAAAAAAGCATACTGGAGGTATATGACAATTTGTCATAGAAAATTTGTTATTAGAACATAGAAATATATTACATAAACCAACAATTCAAAAGCTTTGTTAGTTAGATTATTAGTAAACAATATACGAAATTTCATAATATTCTGGTTCTCTTAATTTTTGAGATTTTACAAAGGGGTATGTATGAATTTTTTGTCGATTTAGGTAATTTTTGGAGATTTTTTCGTGGATCTGTAAAAAGACAAAATTATAAAACAGTTAAACAAAAACCATAACACATTACTTAACTAAAACGAATTTACCTACATAATCTTCAGATATTGTTAACATTCAGCTTAAAATACTAAATACTGCAAAGATTTTCAACATGGCCACCACCAACTTTTATACACCTCTGTACCCGTTTACTTAAGGATCGTCTGATTTTAAAAAATGTGGCGTTATTATTTCTAATTAAATCAGCCGCATCTACAATTTTACTCCATAACTCGTCTCTGAAATTTATAGACTGAGAATAAACAATAGCTTTCATGTAACTCCACACATAAAAATCCAGTGGATTAAAGTCGGGGCTGCGAGGTGGCCATTGAAATTCACTACCATGACCAATCCAACAATGAGAGAAAGTTTGATTCAGGTAATCACGTACAACCAGTGAAAAATGTGGAGGTGCACCATCCTGCATGAACCACATTTCTCTTCTTAATTGTAATGGAAGATCATCCAAAATATCGTTTAAGTCATTGGTTAAAAAATCTAAATATGACGCAGTATTTAAATTGGGAGGTAATTTAAATGGACCCAGCAATGTAATATCTCCTATCAAACCGCACCAGACATTTTTTTTAAATTCGTACTGGAAATGTCTTTCTTTATTTACATGAGAGTTTTCAGTTTCCCAAGCATGACTATTTCGCCAATTAAAAACTCAGAAATGTTCGGTTATTATCCTGTTTCCTCCTTAGCCACTGACAAAACTCAACTCTTGCAGGATAATCTCTTTGAAGCAAATTTTGCACAGATGTAAAATGATATGGGTACAAATTGTGTGGCTTGTGTGTAGTATGTGGCGACATCTACGAGATAACTCAAATCTATTAACATAATCTTGTTTGCCCCTCTAAAAAATAGAACTACCCCAATTTTCAAACCTGTATCTTAAAAAATAGCTTCTTTATTAACAAAAATATAAATATTTTTTCCAACTTTAACAGCCTATTTTTGCCTTCCGAATCTACAGTTACAATTTGACCCATTACTTATGACTCACCCTGTAAATATGTTTGACATACCGTTTAGACTTTTGTATCTGTAGCGTACTAGTATTAAATAAATAAAAATAAAAAAACTGTTTTTAAATTTTACTCCTGGCATACAAAATGAAAAATATTGAGCTCAATATAGCAATTTCAAGTTCGTCACTTGTAGCTCAAAAACTACACAATGCCTGCAAATATTCGATATTATTATCGACCTCAACGTTCTATTTGTGTGCAGCTTGAAGTAATCTTCAGGAAGTTTATATCAATATCTGTACGGAAATGTTACCTGAAAGTATACCCATATTTGTACACAGAAATTTATTTACGTTCGCTTAAGTTGAAATAGTTCTCCGGGAATGTAATGTCGAACTTTAAGAACTTTGTAAGGGCTTTATTATTGCGAGAAAAGAAGGTTTGCGTGACTTTGCAAAACGTTGTGAGCATAGTTTAAGAAATATATTAGATTCAATTCAAAAGATAAAATAAAATGAGTTGTTTTAATTAGTTCTTGAAGGATTCTTTACTAAAAGTACTTGACTCTAACTTATGTTCAAGTAAAAATTACTGGTTTTTTTTAGAATACACCAATAATATGCAATAGAATAGATAAAAAGAATCTAAATACGTGTTTTCTGTTACAAAATTTCTCTACTTCAGAAACATTGAATGTTTCTCTGTCAAATCATGTCGAAAAATAAATTTTTTTGTTTAGAAAAGTGATATTACAGCAAATCTCCGGGTAGACCAACTTTTTTTTGACAGCTGATTTATCCGTATCAAGATATTTCTTTTTATTTGGTGAAAATCGAAACAAAATATATTTTTTTGTGAAATTTCTGACTTTTTCGACATTTTCGCAAAAAACTAAAAATTCGCGTATATTACTCAATATTCCACACTATTTGGCATCAAATTTTGTTTAATATCCCAGGGGAATTAGGGTAATTTTCGGGTCGAACGCTTTTCCGGGAAAAACAGCTTAAAACAAGGAAACAGAGCAAAAATACCTTAAGAAGAATTATCGAGCTCTACAAAACATATATAATCATATAACGATTTTTGTAATAGAATGAGAGGGAACTACAAAAACGTGAAAATTTATCTATCTGTATACTTGTCTGTACATTTATGCCTTTCTCTACTGTCTTTGTTTATCTCTCTCTCTCTCTGTCTCTTCAATATTTAATTTGAACAATAAAATTCTCCAATTAGCTTATAGCTTTATTTTATTTTCCAAATAACATCACTAACATAATACCAATCTAATATAACATCAATCAAAACTTAAACAATTCTTACAGTCTTTTACCTTTTTACTTTCTAAAATTCCATCTGATATTTTATTTTTCCACTCACAATCAACAATATTATTCAAAAACAAAAAAAGTATATTTATAAAAAATTCTAACTTTTTGACGTATTCTCTAGAATTTCCATATTAGGTAAAGATAAAATTGCTAATATATATCATGTAGATCAGATGTAATATATGAAAAAACCGATTGCGATCCACTGAATAAGTTCCACTTATTTAAATATGAATCATGGATTTGCATGCATTGGAAGCATTGATCTAAAAAAGAACACAACAAAACTTTCATTCATATCAAACTACATATCAAATATCTTCTCGATCCTTGTATCCATATGAGCCAATCATTTCTTCAGCTTTGTTTTGTGAGTATGCAGAAGGCGGAAACGAATTCAAATTGGGTTCCCTTAATACTGTATAGTTTAGCGATATTTCCATTTCCAGTCAAGTCGATTTCGAAGTTAGAAAACAAATTACGTTTGTGATACAGTTTGACAGCAGAAG